TGGGTCAGAGCTGCAGGGATGTGTCGCGATTCAAGTTCATTCCCACCGTTCACTGCGTCTGCGCACAGACCGTGGCCAGTCCCAAAGTTCAGAGCTGGCGGGGGGGTGCGCGAGCCGGGTCGGGGGGCAGAGAGCAATGCAATACCTGGAGACAGAGGTCGTGGGTCAGAGCTGCAGGGATGTGTTCCGATTCAAGTCCACTCCCACCATTCACTGTGTCTGCGCACAGCCCTCGGCCATTCCCAAAGTTCAGAGCTGGCGGGCGGGGTGCGTGAGCCGGGTGGGGGGGGGAGCAATGTAATAGCTGAAGATTGGGGTCGTGGGTCAGAACTGCAGGGATGTGTCCCGATTCCACTCTTCCTAGTTTTTGTTTACACTGTCTTGTAATTCAAGTTGTATTTCACCCATTGAAAATATTCAATCATTGTTCTTTTAAATTCTGTGACAGGATGTTCCATTAGACTTTCTGGCTTCAGCAAATCCATTGGTACTATGTCAGTTTTGGGGGTGACATCTTGTTTTGGGCTTGTGTAGGTTGTGACATAGCTTTGTTTCTTATGTGACTTTGTTGTGGTAGAGTATTTCATGCCTGTGGCAATTATATGAACTTGATCTTAAGTCACTGCTTCAAAAGAAGGTGGGGAAGTTACCCTTCTAGTTTCAGTTCAGGGCCTGTGAAAGACGCTTCATCTGTTTTTAACTGTTGCAGTCCAAGGCTTTCTGGACTAAAGGCAGTTAGCTGACTGGATGTGAGGAGATGCAAGGTGGAGCTTAGAGGCAGGCAGAGCATAGAGGCAGGTGGAGCATGGAGGAGGGCACAGGCACTGGGCGGGCACATGTGCCAGGTGGTTGTGGTCACTGGGTGGATGTGAGTTCTGGAGGCACCTGGCACAAATGCAGTCACTCAATGATTGAGCACACGGGAACCTTGCTCAAATTCCAGCTCTCAGGCCTGCATCCCAACTTTGCTCCATTCCTGCTTTTTTTTTTTTCAATATTCTTTAACCATCTCAATGAGCATGCATCATTAAAATAAACTCAGTAAAAATAACAACTAGTATGAACTCTGAAGTTCACATCATTTATTCATCAGAGAGGTGAGGACAATGTCTACAGGAAGCAGGCACACCATTCCTTCAGACACCTGGCACTCTCCTGGGCCTCACACTCTGTAGCACCACAAGAACAAATGATCCACTTCTGAAACTCAGCCTCATTCTTGCGTAACAGAAGGAATTGTCCCAGTAGGATGTAGGCCTGGAGAGGGAGAGGGATAAGTGAGAAGAAAGCATGTTGTTGTCAGAACTGACCCATAGCTGTCCCTACAGCAGGTTTGCAGAGGCAGTTAATCGCATGGGAGGAGATTGCCCATTCTTCTACGGAGCAGCTGGTGGCCTCGAACCACATGCCTTCATGATTGCAGCATAGCATTTTTCCATTACGCCACCAGAGTAATAAAAATTATTATAAAACTGTCTCAAATGAGTGCTTCTTCACTGAAATACCAGAAGACAACTAAAAACGCAGTGGAGGAAATATAGATGAATTCTGAGAATGCAGAAAATTAATTAAAATTCTCATGAATTAGAATTCCCAGAGCCAAGAATGGATGTTCATACCTCCCAGTTGCTTCTTGAGAATAATCTGCTTTCAGAAAAATTACAGCTAAAGAGACTGTGGCACAGTTTCAATCTGTATTATAGGGTACTAGTCACCTGTGACTCGACAGTACTTAACAACATCAACAGAGAGAGAGAAAGAGAGAGAGAGAGAGAGAGAGAGAGAGAGAGAGAGAGAGAGAGAGAGAGAGAGATCAGCTGGCCCAGTGTTGAGAAAACGATGTGGCCAAGACCAAGGTGGGTGACTTTTAATCTGCGGCTCTCAGGCCATTCTTTCATTGTTTTTGTTCAGACATTCCTCTAGGACGTATAGCCCTGGTGTATAAGTTGCCATCCCGTGGTCACTTGTGATTGCTGTGAGGCTGAACACTGTGACACAGATGTGTCAAATGCATTAATGGTTGGCTACCCAGTGCAGACAGAGAGTGGGGTGGAGCTCCCCGATTAAAACAAGCATGGAAGGAGAAGTGGCATCCATTTCCATAATAGCTTGCCTCCGGAAACCCTATGAACCTGGAGAGAGGATGAAAGGCACCCATGCATCGAGGACTCTCCTTCATAGGGTCGCTATGAGTCGCCTGCTACTCAACAGCACTTAACGACAACAACATAGACTCACTGTGAATCAGAATCAGCTCACAGTGATGAGATTAATTTAGGGGCTGTTGAGCTTAGAATGAACTAGAACCTGTCCTCAAACTTCAATGAGCAAGTGAATCACAGGTTCCAATTCAGTGGCCTGAGGTAGCAATCTGCACTTAAGCCAGGGGTCACTCATTGCCATTACCAACTCATAGCTGACCCTCCAGCAGGTTTTCAGAGACTATAAATGGCTTGAGAGGAGATTGCCCATCTTCCTCCCACAGAGTTGATGGTGGTTTCCAAACGGCCTTGTGTTAGCAGCATAACTCCCTCCAGAATGCAATGCCAGGGCTCCCTCAAGATGAATAGGCTTCTGTGTCGCTAACAAGCTCACAGGGTTCTGCTGGTCTGGGGCATAGATACTCCCATCAGGCCTCTGATCTAGTCTCTCTCTCTTTAAAATGTGTATATACACACAGACACATACACAGAAAAAAAAACCCTGGAAGTCCTCTTCAAGCCATTTCCCCCACTAATTTCTCAAACACAGAGATTCTGAACCTTGGCATTCTGGTTTAGACATTTCTCAGAGATATGCCACTAATCTGTGCATCTTAGATGTTGAACAGCATCCTTACTCTACCGGTTAAATTCTGATAACACCCCTCTCACCCCAGTGACAATTATAACCACCTACAGACATTGTCAAATATCACTGCTGTGGGCAAAGTCTTCCTTTAGAAAACCATTGTGTGAGGGGCAGCTGAGGAAGGACAGGCTGTCACTGATTATGTCCAAGGCAGCCATGTGAGCTCAGGAATGCACCTTATCTTAGGAACCTGGGCCTCACCTTTTTTCTATCTCCAAAAGCCATATAATGTGACCTGCCTTGCCTTGTACCATAAAAGAAACTAAGTGAGCTGAACACGAAAGCAATAGAAAGTTCTATAGCTTTTTGTTACGGAAGATGAAGCCTTGCTAGGTGAATAATGAAGGTATAAAATAAACTAAACCTTGCTTATCTTTCCTTCTTGGAAAGTGTGGAATTAAAAATGAATGTACAATAAAACATAACATGACTATACTTCTTTGGTATTCCATGTTATTGTGAGCTACTATCACGTCATTCACTTATTCACAATGATTCCATGAACAACAGAATAAATACCATCTGGCCCTATGCTATCCTCACAATCATTTGCAGAGCAGACTACTATGGTCTCTCTAGGGGTTGATTTCCAGAAGCAGATAGCGAAGCTTTTCCTCATAGTACATCCTCATCTGGCAGGTCTGACAAATATTTTCAGACAACTCACACTTATTCCCACCTTACAGAGTTGATGATTATACACTGACCATGCAATCTACGTCTTCCACATGGAAGAAGGAGCCCAATCCTCATGATACTTCACAATTTCATTTATTTACTACATTCTACACCTCTGAAAATTCACTGGAGGGTCATCTATGGGTTGATTTTGACTCAAAGGTAAACAACTCATGTGCAATTCAGTGGCATTGTTTACGTTCATTGATTAGATTCTCACCCTCATTTTGTGTTGTTCATTTCTCATTAATGTAAGCTCACTGCTCCCCTGAGGTTCTTATTTAATCTTTAGAGTTACCATAATAAATTTTATTCTATATGTTGTTGTAATTGTTATATGCCATCTAGTCAACTACAACTCATAACAGCTCTATGAACAATGACTCTGAATCTTGCCCTATCCTGAGCCAACCTCACCATCTCCTGACATACCTGATCCCGTTACCACAGTCACTGTGTCAATCCATCTCATTTAGCGTCTTTCTCGCTTGCATTTCTTTCTCTCCAACCATGATGTCCTTCTGTAAAATGTCCCTCCTGGCAACATACCCAAAGTATGTTTTCCAAGCTTCAAAATTCTTGCCTCCAAGAAGCAGCTTGGTTTCACCCTCTCCATGACAAAAGCTGTTTGTTCTTTTGGCAGTCCATGATATGTTCAATTCTCTTCTCCAGCACCACCACTCAAAGACATTGATTCTTCTCTCATTCTTATTCATTGTCCAGCTTTCAGATGCACAGCAAGCAATTGAGTAGAGCATGGCCTGAGTCAGGAACACCTTAGTCTCTAGACTGATATCATTGCTCTTTAGCATTCTGGAGAAGTTGGTTTTTTATTTTTAAATAAATTTTTTATTTTATACTGATTTACATACAAAGTTCATTTACATTGTTTTTCACACCGGATCTTTCCCATTTCTTTAACCCACCCCTCCTTTCATCCATCAAATTGTGTGACCCTATGATTAAGACCCCTGTCACCACCCATCCTCACTCTTCTGCTCCCCCTCCTTGGATCCTCACAGATGTTTTATAATAATGGTCTTATTCTACAATAATGGTCTTATACAGTATTTGTTCTCATAGGTCTGAGTTAGTTCACTTAGCACAATGTTCTCTGAAGAACTTCTTGACAGCAGGTTTTTCCCAATATAACTCATCTTCTGATTTCTTTACTGCTGGTGTCAAAAGTGTTGATTGTGGATCTGAACAAGATTAAATTGTTAACAACTCCAATCTTTTCTCCATCTGCAAATTGGACTGTGGTAAGGATCTTTGTTTTTTTGATGTTGAGATGCAATCCATATTGAAGGCTGCAATACCTGACCTTCCGAAACAAATACTTTAAGTCTTCCTCAGTTTTGGCAAGCAAGATTTTATCATCTGCATATTGCTATTTGTTGATGAGTCCAATCCAGATGCCACATTTTTCTTCAAAACATCCCGCTTGTTTAACATATATATATATATATATACACACACACATATATACACACACATATATATACACACACACATATATATACACACACACATATATACACACATACACACATATATACACACATACACACACACACAGAGATATGTAAATAGATATAGAGATAGAGATAGAGATATAGAGATATAGAGATATAGAGATATAGAGATATAGATATATAGATAGTGAACGTATGGAGAAAGGATATATCCCTGGCACACTCCTTTTTTTAAATTTTGACAATATTCACTTCAGACTTCTTGGTCTAGGTATAGGTTTCACAAGAGCAAAGTCAAGTGTTCTGAGATTCTCATTCTTCTCAATGTAAGTCACAATTTGTTGTGATCCATACACTGAAATGGCTTTGTACGTACATCCTTCTGGTGCTCTCTGCTTTCAGCCAAGATCCATTTGACATTAGCAATGATAACCCTCCGTGCCATGGCCTCTTCTAAGTCTTGCTTGTATTTCTGGCAGTTTATCTAAATAGAGCACAATGCTCAAGGCAGATACTCTTCAGTTAAGCTGAAAGATTGGTTTTAAAAATTATCTCATGGTATATTACAGTTTTCTAATTGCTGGTCATCATAAATTTTCATTTATATCTTACAATTTTATCAAAATATCCTTGATACGGAGTTCAAATCAAGATAGAAAGGGAATGCCAAGACCATTTGTCCATAAACAGGACAAGTACCTGCTGGTGGACCCTGGGGCAGAGTCATGGTAAAAGGCCATCTGCTGGAGTTGGTTTAAGATCACTCACTTGGAATGATAAGAACCAGTATTCATGCCTCCAGTGTTGGGTTCTTTCCAGGAAAACTTGATGATGTGTTTACTTTTAGTTACATAAAACAAAGTAAATATTATTCTTTTTTTTAATTTAGGTTGTTTATTTTTCATTTCAATGAACATCTACAGAAATTTTGGGATTCCATTCATTCATTGTTGCACCCTTCTCCCCGCACAAACCCCTCCCCCCTCCCCCCAAGGGAAAATTAAAAAAAACAACTTCATTTCAATCTGAACGCATCATAAAACATACCCAACCATCGGAGCCTTTGGGGTTTTATATTAGTCATGGGACAATTGTTGATGACGATACAAAAGACAAATCAAAATGTCATGGAGTTTTGTGGATTTTTTTCTCATTTTTTCCCAATTATCTTTTTTAAAACAAAATGTAGTTGCTTGAAATTATCTCTTTTTTATTGATATGCCCACATTTTTTAGTAATGGATTTTACTGAAAT